GGGGGTAGGGGTGTGCTCAGCCAAGGCCAAATGGCTTTGACAGTGGTGATGAAGCAATCCTCTTCTTAAACGATGTAGACTTTGTCAAAAGGGCATTTAACTAATATTAGTAATCCCAGTACTGAAGTTTCTTCAATATTTGGAATGTCCTGGACCCTGCAATTTTTCGTCAGTATTTCATTTCCACACGCTGAAATGGTCGTTTTTAAGGATAAGCAGGCTATCTCAGATTTCGAGGGTTTCCAGAAATCTTGATCTACACCAAAATTGAGCATTGCCCTACCTATAGGAGAAGTTTGGTTTCATTGGTATGTATGTTTGTTTAGTTATAGAGAAAACTATCTTTGTATTTTAAAGAAATCGAACAAGGACCCAAAAACTTTACCTTCTTTTTTTGTCAAAACCCAATTTTTTCGGGATAGCCTCCTTGTGCTTAAAAGTGACCAAATGTTTCTTAAACTTGTCACAAGTTAAACTTTCATTTTTACTCACCAATTTTCTCCCTTGCTGTTAAAACATTTACCAAAAATTAAGGATGAACACTATTGAGAAATGCACCTTTTATATAACAATCAACATTATGATATTATTATACGTACGTCCAAAACTCTTCGCTGGCAGATTTAGACAAGTTTGTCTTCACTGTATCATTAGAAGCTGTCAAGTTGTAACTTTTCATCCATAAGTTCATCTGATCAGAAGTCTCATTCAATGCTTCGGCTACGCTTCCACTTCCATTAGCACCTATGCCACCAGAGCTTCCACTAGTGGGCCTGCAGTGCTCCGAGTTCCACCACTGACCACACAGAGTCCAAGGTAGAGGATCTTTGAAGGAGTTCACCAGATATATCAAACTCCAGGCCAGGACAACCAGGAAGAACCAGGAAACGATCAAAGAGAGTACGTTCATCGCAATTCCCAGACCTAGAAAAGGAACATAAGAGAACAAGAAGAAATCATACAAAACCATACAAAGCAGAGAAATAGGGCTTTCAACGCCACAACATTCCTTTCCAACACACTATGAATTTTATTATAATTTATTATATTTTATTATATTATATCATTTTGATGTGGATTCCTTGGGCTGAACGGTTTCTTGTTATATAATGCTGCTGACGCGGAATATCATTTTTCACAGAACTTTTGGTAGAGATGATAGTTTCTGCGCATGTAAACACGAACAGACGCACAGAAGCGAGAGAGGGGATGAGTCTGAAAGGGATATTTCTCGAGGCGCTTTTTGTATTGACAGTATAGATCTAGACCTTCTAATTTTTTTGCATCTCTCAAGATTTAATTCCTCATTCCAGTAGAGCGTAAATATAGTAGGCCAAGGACTTTTAGTTGATATTAAAGCACCGATCATTCCTTTCGTCGAAAGGGGGCCCAGCTAGTATTATCTATTTGTGGTGGCCGAATTTTGCTATTGCTTTTCAGAAGGCTTTTCAATGGCTGCATCGATCGATACGCGGTTTTCGCCAAAAAAAATATATTTGTGGTGGCCGAATTTTGCTATTCAAAAGGCTTTTCAATAGCTGCTTCTATCGATATGCGGTTTTCGCCAAAAAATTCTTTAAAATATTCTCCCGATCATGATGCCCCTGGTCTTATCAGTTTTGAGACAGTTTTGCTGCAAAAAGCTAAATTTCTTTATTTCGCCGATCGCTTTTGTAGGCCGACGCTTCTGTCTCTGTAATTTAAGAAAATCCGAAAGTGATATTTCTCGAGGCGCTTTTTGTTATGAGAGTATAGACCTAGACTTTCTAATTTTTTGCATCTCTCAAGATTTAATTCCCCATTCCTGTGGAGCGTAAATATAGTAGGCCAAGGACTTTTAGTTGATATTAAAGCACCGATCATTCCTTTCGTCGAAAGTAATAGTATTATCTATTTGTGGTTGTCGAATTTTGCTATTCAGAAGGCTTTTTAATGGCTGTATCGATCAACATGCGGTTTTCGCCAAAAGATTCTTTAAAATATTCCCCAGATCATGACGCACTTCGTTTTTTTCAGTTTTGAGACAGTTTTGCCGCAAAAAGCTAAATTTCTTTATTTCGCCGATCACTTGTTTTGTAGGCCGACGCGTCTGTCTCTGTAAGTTTAGAAAATCCGCCTTGTTTGTTTATTCAAAGAGTCTACATAACAAGAAGAGCCACTTCTCTCTTTGAGCCAATTAAAGAAGTGTCCTCAAAATTCGGTGGCGCCCTCTTCACAAAAGTGCACCTTTTGCGAACAGAGTTACCCTACTTGAGTTTAAAAAATAAAAGTGAAACTAGCAAGTTTTTGGATACATTTCAGAAGAACGCTTTTTTAAAATGGTTACGCTGACAAAAAAACTCTTCCGGAGGAAAGGATGATTGTTTTCTTCGTTTAATTTGACTTTAGAATGAAAGGCGAGAGGTCATTAAAATAAAAAAAAACCTACAACTCCACACTGAACGAACTCGAACTGCTGATGAACAGCAGTCGATCTGCGCACGCAAGGAGGTGCTATTCCTATTCTTCTTCTGGAAAAACGTAAGAGAGCTTCAAAACAGACTGCAGCGCCATCTGAAGCAAAGAGCGCACTTCCTGCGGACACTTTTTTGGCTGAGTGGCCCATCTTGTTTTTTACTGTCTTTGGATTATTTCAAGTCGTACTTCCGTTACATACTATCGCACATTGTCGCGCAATACTGAGCACTATTTTTAGTGTGCAACCCGTAGAGCCCCATGTTTCCTTTTTTTACTTGGTGCTAAATTCGACTGTGATCCTTTCGTTTGATGCCCACCATCGCTATTTCTGGACTCCTTTGTCAAATTCTTTTTCTTTTTTCTTGCTACTGGGAACAATCAACACGGTTCTGTACAACCACGAAAACGGAATAGAGAATCAATCTGCGCATCTATTATAATATTTGGCAACTTGGAAACACATGTGTCACTTTTCTCTCAAGATTTATTGCTCCATTCCAGTAGAGTGTAAATCTGGCTGGAGAAGCAAAAGTGGGAGGGAATTTGACACTGGACCCACCAACTGTTCTAACCGCTGTAAGGGAAAATTTGGGGAAGAATAGGGCGGATAGCTGTTCCCACACTCTAGGGAGATTGAAGGAGAAGAGGATCCAAAGAGAAGAGGGGAAACAGCCATCTGTGCGGACCAGTCCGACGGATCTCAAACCAGATCATGATGGGGACCATAAGTAGACAGACTCTGGGATGGATCCTGAAGAGGGGGGGGGGGGGCAGAGATGAACATGTTCCAACTGCAGTGACCCCAACACAGTAGACAAGTAAGGACATGTAAGTTAGAGTGTAAATATAGTACATCAATGATATCATTGCTGAAAGTCATTGGCCTACTACTACTACCTCGACCTTTGTGAGCGCGAAGGGTTCCAACTGCAGAACGTCGTTTTCTTTTCGGCATGGTCAGGCGCTATCTAGATCTAGATCCCAATCTAAGACCTGTTGACGTTGTTACGAGTAGCAAGAAAAAAAATTTGACAAAGGAGTCCAGAAAAAGCAATGATGGGCATCAAACGAAATGATCACAGTCGAATTTAGCCCAAAGTAAAAAAAAAAAAAGAAAACATAAGGCTAGATCTATGCGGGTCGAACACTTAAAATAGTGCTCAGTATTGCGCGACAATGCGCGATAGTATCGAACGGAAGTACGACTTGAAAATAAACAAACCTGGTGGATTTTCTAAAATTACAGAGACGAAGCGTCGGCCTACAAAAGCGATCGGCGAAATAAAGAAATTTAGCTTTTGCAGCAAAACTGTCTCAAAACTGAAAAAAACTAAGGGCGCCATGATCTGGAGAATATTTACGAAATCTTTTGGTGAAACCCGCATGTCGATCGATGCAGCCATTAAAAAGCCTTTTGAATAGCAAATTTCGGCCACCTGAAAACCTCCTCAACATTGCAGAGAAAATAATTTAATAAAGAGTTGGCCCCAGGAGACAGCCTTGCTTCATGTACTTTGAGACAGGGAAAGGCTCCCATTGCTCTCCATGGATCTTGATCCTAGCCTTTATTCCCTTTAGGATATATCTCACGAAGTCGATGAACTTAGGTGGGCTTCTGCATTTTGCCATTATGTTCCAAAGTCACGGCAGATGGTCTCACATGACTTTTTGAGGTCAACAAACGTCATGTATTAGTCAATGTTTCGTTTACTGTACTTCTCTTGAAGCTTGTCAGGCAGCAAATAATATCAATTAAAGACAAATAATAATAATGCTGACGATGATGATGATTGCCTACAATACGAAACTAAGCTAACAATAACGAACGACTCTCATACTACGCATTCACATACCTTGTATCGCCCTACTTTCACTTCCTAAATAGGCCACCCGCTCAACGTACATGAATCGTCTCTCACCGTTCACAATCTATACCGTATCATTATAATGATAATGATGATGAAAATAATAATACTTTACTTTTTACTTTTATCCGCTGCTTATATCCTACTGGGTGTCGCGGGAAGAAAAAGACGTCTCTCTGTCGTCAGCCGGAGAGCTTGGGTCAGGGGGATGCCGCGGGTGATTAGTGTTTTCCTGACTCCATCTATCCAGGTCTTTCTCGGTCACCCTCTAGTCTTGTTGCCCTCGAAGGTTTTGATGTAGGCACGTTGTGCTGGATGGTGTGTTGGTAATCGTAGGAGATGTCCGAACCTTTTGATTCTTTGGTGTTGGATGAGATGCATGACATCATTTGTGTCCACTCTTTCTCTGATTACTGAGTTTCTAATTTTGTCTCACGTAGTCTTGTTTACTGCTTTTCTAAGGCATCGCATTTCAAATGTTGTAATTCTTTGCTCTAATGTCTTGTTCGTGGTCCTTGTTTGGCATAGATAGGTGAGTGTTGGGATGAATATGGTGTTGATCATTTCGAGTTTTGTTGTCATGGGGATGTTAGGATGTTTCAGTAGTGGAGTAAGTTGGTAACTAACATTATTGGCCTTTTGTACTCGCGTTTCAATGTCTCTGTTCAGTCGCCCATCCTCTGTGAATCTACTTCCGAGGTACTTTAATTCTTGGACCTGTCTGAGACCGTTGTTGTAGATGTGCATCCTGAGTGGTCCTGGGTATTTGCTCACTTTCATTGTCTCTGTTTTGTTAATGTACATATTCATGTTGTAGTTGTTACATTCTTCGTTTAATCTGGAGGTGTGGTGTTGGAAACTTCGTTCGTTCATCTTTGTGTGCCGGGCTTTGGTCATCAGCGAAGAGTAATTCATCTAGGGCGTCTGATTCATATGTATGATAAATAGTAGTGGTGATAGTACACAACCTTGACTTACTCCGGATGTTATCTCGAACAATTCTGTAAGTCCCTCCGACGTTCTTACTGTACTTATGCTGTTCTCGTAAATGGCACGGATGTTATCTAGAAGTTGGCCTCTTACATTGTAGTTTTCGAATTCTTTCCATAGCTTATTTCTGTTCACTCTGTCAAAGACGCTTTCTCCTGGTCGATAAATACTATATTTAGTTCCCTGTTGTGTTCTATTACCCTTTCGCACATTTGTCGTAGGGCAAATATGGTGTCGGTGCATCCTCTTCCCTTTCTAAACCCCATTGGGCTTCACTCAGAAATGGTTCAACTTTGTGTCTTGTTCACCATTCCAATATCTTGGCAAACATAGTAATAATAATAATAATAATAATAATAATAATAATAATAATAATAATAATAATAATAATAATAAGAAGAAGAAGAAGAAGAAGAGGAAGGAGGAGGGGGAGGAGGAGGAGGAGGAGGAGGAGGAGGAGGAGGAGGAGGAGGAGGAGGAGGAGAAGGAGGAGGAGGAGGAGGAGGAGAAGACATCTCTTACCTGCAAACAATGGGCAAATTGCGAAAACGTGCCACGAACTCTTTGAAAGAAACTGGCCCATCGCCACTTCCATGAAGTACAAGGGAAGACCACACGCAAACAAGCAAATGAAGAAGGGAATGAGAAAGGCTCCTGTGGAAGAAAAGATTAATTGTTTCTGATATTTTTCTTGTTAACATATACGGGGTGATTAAAAAGAGGGTGAACCGATTTAATCAGGCAACATTTCAATGAGGAAAACCAATACACACATCAAACTAAGTCGCGAGAATTTTACTCAGAATCAACTTTTCTTTCCTGTTTTACAAGTGTCCAATGTGACCACCACCAGCAACACAAGGAACATCAATGCAATAAGAACATTATTCATCCGAGGCGCGTTTCCACATATCACGTTCCATTGATTAGATCGCTACTGTTATTCAATGTTTAAGGTAATCGAGGTTAGTGTCTCTTTTGCCTTTTATTATTTTCTTTTGGTGTAAAAACATTACTGACGCATTCAGGTGAATATCGGCTCTGCTATATTTCTACAGAATATAATATTATAATGACATCGATTTAATAATATGTGTGGTCGTCTGAGTCTGAAAGAATGAGGCGAAAGACGCACAGACATGAACCAAGATACAGGCCAAAAATAATAAAATATCGGCTTCATATTGAATTTGAAAAGTTATCATTTGCATGCCTTTTATCTTGTTTTCTATCGGAAAATTATACTAAAAATGCCTGTATTGATGAGATTGTACCTACTGTTACCAAAATCATCAATGATTTTTTTAAATGTAAAGGATGGAATAGTATCAGATTACTTCAAGATCGCCCTTGTAAAACCTTTGTTGAAAAAAAATTAACTTTCGATCGAAACAAACTGAAAAACAATACACCAGAAAAAGTAGCCTTACAACACATACTTTCTATTTACAATTCTACAACCTTATTGAACCTTGTCAGTCTACATTCAGGGTTAATCACAGCACAGGAACAGCGCTGTTAAAAGCTGTAAAAGATATTCCCATGGAATCAGACGCTGGCAAAGTTATAATGTCAAATCTATTTGATCTGTCAGAAGCCTTTGACACCACTGACTAAATGGTTCTGATCTCTATCTTATCTATCTAAAGGCAGCCAGTATGTTTAGATAAAAAAAGCCCATCACCTCACAAAAGGCATTCTTATTTCTAACGTTCTCCAGGGTTCAGTTTTAGGCCAGTGACTGTTCTCAAAGTTTTTTTTTTGGGGGGGGGGTGGTAAGTGTTTTATGGCATTCGCAACTGCATTAGGTCATATGAGCGTGCGGGACACACCAATCATTTTCAATTGGTAGGAAATTTTGAATTTTCCCCCGGTGGCGGTGAAGTCTACTCTTATCGATTTTGGACCACCGGGGGATCTTTAAAGTGCGCAACTTGCACACGGGGCCCCCGAGATTTTTCGCCCTCCTCCGGGACGGTTAAGTGTAGATCTTACCTACCATAATATCAGGGATGTGACTGAAAGACAGCAGTAAAAAGGAGCAAAGGAGAAGCAGTAAAAAGGCTGCAGAAAGAGCCTTAGCCCAGAGGAGGGGGCAAAGCAGGTGAGGGGATGGGGGCAGAAGGTGGAGACGAAAGCAGACGGCAGAATATTGTTAGGGAGCAGGAAAGGATGTGAAAGGGGAACATTTTTAGAGAAGAACATCTTCAGTCGCTCTCCGGATTCGAACCCGGGACCTTCTGAATGAGAGGCGAACATCGTACCTCTAGGCCACGGGAGCCCCTTCAAAATGTATACACAACCGCTTGCTAACTTAAAAAAAAAGAAGTACGTAATTCATTCTCCACGTCTACGCTGATGACACACATATAATTATATTACGGCTTTTTTTTATCCGTGCAATATCGATCAATTTATAGAAGAGTAAAAAATGCATTGAAATAAGATGTGAAAAAATGGATTTATGATAACAAATTGAATAATGTAGAATGATGAAAAAACAGTTAGGGTACAGTTCTATTTGGAAGTTAAAAGTAGAATGATGAAAAAACAGTTAGGGTACAGTTCTATTTGGAAGTTAAAAAACATCAATGACCTAAATAGAAACTATTCGAAAAAACAAATACATTCTTATGATATTTTCCAGCAAGGTCAAGAACCTTGTTATCTGTTCAGATTCAGACATGTCCAAGAATAACAATACAAATCATGCCACTTAATGTATGCACCTTGACCTTTATAGAACCAGTAAGATAAAGCACCTTTATTTACCTGATTTTGCATGCATGCTCAACAAGCCAAACAAACAAGAACGTAAATGAAGAGTTCTGACTACAGCCCTTTTTCTTCCGCTATCTTCATTTCCAATAGAATCTGAATAGATACCAAGGTTCTTGGATTTGCTGGAAGGATGCCACTGCTGTGTTGTACCTGTTTATTTTTCATTGTTGTTTCTGCCTGTCCGTTTGCCTTGTTCGTTCCCCTGCACTAAAGGCGGTTAGTGTGTCGACGTGTTTCTCACACTAACAAACGAATCCTTTACATGCGTACAAATAAATATTCATACACACATGCAAATAAAACAAAAAGGGGAATTTACATGAAAAATAAACAGCAAAAACAACCGAACTTGTTCTAACGGCCACGACCTGTCCATGACAATTACCTGTACTAACGACCACCTCCCACCTTCCCTGTCAGTTAAAAAAAAATTGTAATGACACTCTTCAAGACGTCCATCTATTTGAGACAATCACTTTTCTCCTCTACAATAGGAGGTCCACTAAGACAGTTTATACTGTATCTGAGAAAGAAGAGGAGGAAAACTATAATAATACTCACCTCCACCATTCCTGATACAGACGTAGGGAAATCTCCAGACATTTCCCAGTCCCACACAGTAGCCCACCATAGAGAGGATGTATTCCGCCTTTCTCCCCCACGTCAGCCTACTCGTGTCTTCAGACGCCTCCTCTGACTCGTCTGTCAACTTTCCATTATGGATAAAAACGTTTGCCGAATCTTCGATGAAACTCTCGTCCCTATTGACATCTTTTGTATCATCGTTGGCTTTATGTAGATTGTTTTGAGGACCATTCAGAGGTATACACTCTTCCCATCCTACTGGTGTCTTGTCAGATGTATGCTCCGCCATAATTCTTTTTTCCATAAGAACACTCTAATCTGAATTTCGATAGACCATTAAGATTATAGTATTACCAGCAGCACAAGGCCTACTTCGTTAGAAAAAGGAGATTCAAGAACTGGCCTATGTATGGGGTCTAATGTAATTGATAAACTCATTAAACTATTCTGCATTAAACGCTCTGAGGTTGAAGGAACAGTTTCAAACGAAACAAAAAGTCAGTACACCATCGGATGTGGTCCCCTTAACGATTCGTATGAAATGTTTTGGTTAGCCACGGGATAAAATAGAGCCTGCTTTGTCAACCCTATCGATTTACTATCGTGTCCGTACGACTTGGGGAACTCTGAGTCATCACCTGCCAAAGAAAAAATTTACTCGTTAATCCGATCCTTACGCTTTTAGTTTTAGTAAGTGTTTTACGATACTCGCAACACAAGAGAGGAGCAAACATAAAAAAGAAGAGATAAAGACGATAGACGTTTGACAGGAAAGAAGAAGCAAACCACACCAGAGCACCCTCCAACCACCCACACCGTGCGCTTTGCCTAGCAGTCTGTCAAAAAATATTTTTTGAGAAATACTACAAGTTTCAAAGGGATCTTCGCACTAAAATGTGAAGAAAACAACCCCGGTGGTACATTAAATGACCCCAGGGCGTACGGATACGGTTAACAAAGGGAGATTCAAGAACTGGCCTATGTAAGGGTCTAATGTAGTTGATAAACTGTTCGGCATTAAACACTTTGAGGTCGAAGGATCAGTTTCAAACGAAACAAAAAGTCAGTACACCATCGGATGTAGTCTTCTTTAACGCTTCGCATGAAATGTTGATTTCTTAAGCCTAAGTTCGCCACGGGATAAACCTAGACCTATATCAGTCTGCTGCTTCATTCCAAAACTCGTGTTCTTAACGCAGAGAAGCGAACAACAGGAATATCTGAATCAGCCTGAAGAGCAGACGTGGGATCGTTGTATTAATTGTGTGCGGTACACTTTTCGTATTTCTTCCATTTCTTTGCGCTCCGCATTGCCTTGGGCTGAAACGGGGAATAAATCACACGCGGAATAAATCCCCCCCCTGCCATGTTTGTTACGACACGACGAAGATTTAGTTTGCTGCCTGTGCATAAAGCAACGTGAAATTTAAAAACAAAGAAACCAAAACCCCCACGAATCAGCGAAGACAGACAACAGTTTAATAGGAGAAGAACACAAACAAAACTCGATTTTGTCGTTCTAAATTCAGGACATCTTTAAAGAAACGTGTTCGGTGTCAGGTGTATTGCCGTGCCGTCTGAGCCTGTAAATAAACCAAAACTTCTCGGGAGGTTAATCTCAGGTCAATCTCATACTTCACCGAGTAACGCCGAGCCACCATTTTGTGAGGCAGCGACTAGGCCCTAGCACATACCCTAGAATTCAAGGCTGAGAATTTCGCGGCTTTCAAAATTAGCGTTCTCCTTTCCTGCCAGCAGTGTTTTTTTAAAAAGAAAATATTAAATCATTCGTAAGAACAGCTGCTAAAAACGGATAGGTTTAGATTGCTGAACAATTGTCTTGCTAAGCCTAAGGACCACGATCTCTTCGGAATTCCCGTATCGATATGATGATGGGGTAATTGGAACACTGTCTGTGTTGAAGAAAATCGATATTTTGGCAAGTTGTTCATAATAATAATATAGTCCAGAAAACAAAATTTTCAGGAGACAGAGGACAAAAACAGTTTCATTCTTTTTAACAATGATCGTACCTGCTTTACATAATACATCTTTTCAGGCTTTTTGTCCTCATTTAGGATTTGAAATTTCAATCAAATTTTTCTTGAACACATGCAACTGATACTGCAGCTTAAGAAAGAAACTGCAATATTTTTTCCCTCCTAAATTGGGGACTTTATACATCTGAACAGCTTGCCGACGCGGTAGTATTAGGTCTATGGCTGCAAGTTGATATTGTGTGAGTTAATAAGTTAATATCTGGGGTTTCCCAACGA